TTGTTGTTGCTCATGTTGTTGTTGCTGTTGTTGTTGTTGCTCATGTTGTTGTTGCTCATGTTGTTGTTGCTGTTGTTGTTGTTGCTCATGTTGTTGTTGCTCATGTTGTTGTTGCTGTTGTTGTTGTTGCTGTTGTTGTTGTTGCTCATGTTGTTGTTGCTCATGTTGTTGTTGCTCATGTTGTTGTTGCTCATGTTGTTGTTGCTCATGTTGTTGTTGCTCATGTTGTTGTTGCTGTTGTTGTTGCTCATGTTGTTGTTGCTCATGTTGTTGTTGCTGTTGTTGTTACTGTTTTGGTTGCTCATGTTGTTGTTGCTGTTGTGTTACTGTTTTTGTTGTTGTTGCTCATGTTGTCGTTGTTACTGTTGTTGTTACTGCTGTTGTTGCTGTTTTTGTTACTGTTGTTGTTGCTGTTGATGTCGCTGTTGTTGTTGCTGTTGTTGTCTGTGGTGGTGTTGCTCTTGTTAGATAAACGAAGCCTAATTCTTAAAATAGTAGTATACAGTTCACAAAATAAAATTACAAAAACCTGTAGATATAAACTTTCTTCTTCTGTCCGTCCCTCCAGACCCTGGCCATCGCTTGCTCGTCATTGGCCGGATTCCAGTCAGGATCATACATCACTAATCGATTTGCACCAATGAGATTCAAGCCACAACCCCCGGCTTTGCTACTTAACATAAAAATAAAATCGCCTCCGCTAGGGTCGTTGAAACGGTCCACGATTTTCTGCCGTTTTCTGATAGTCATCGAGCCATCCAAGCGAACAAACTGGTATCTCCTTAACCGACAGAGTTTCTCGAATAGGTCCAATGTTTGTGTGTAGTTTGAGACCAAAACGACTTTGTCGTTAGACATCGATTTGGTCATAGCTAGGATATAGTCGAGTACTTTCATCTTGCCCGACAAATCTGGTTGGAAATGTTTCGAGTTGTGTCCAGCTGTAAAGATGTAGAAAGGATTTGATGTGAAATATTGTAGTGTAGGTGGTATTTTACGATACCGTTGTGTATGCCTGTGTGCAAAAGATCGAAAACACTGCGTGGTATCGAGTACGAAGGTCTGTCCTCAGGTGGTTGGTGAGACACCATCAACATTATCACCAGTTCACCACCATCGCATAACAATCATCACCAATGTCACCATCATTGTCATCGCCACCATCGTCATCATCATAAAAACCATCATCATAACCACCATCATCATCATCATCATCATCATCATCATCATCATCATCATCATCATCATCATCATCATCATCATCATCATCATCATCATCATCATCATCATCATCATCATCATCATCATCATCATCATCATCATCATCATCATCGTCATCGTCATCATCATCATCATCATCATCATCATCATCATCATCATCACCATCATCGTCATCGTCATCGTCATCATCATCATCATCGTCATCGTCATCATCATCATCATCATCATCATCGTCATCGTCATCGTCATCGTCATCGTCATCGTCATCATCATCGTCATCGTCATCATCATCATCGTCATCATCATCATCATCGTCATCGTCATCGTCATCATCATCGTCATCATCATCGTCATCGTCATCATCATCATCATCGTCATCGTCACCATCATCACCATCATCATCACCATCATTACTTTCCATTCTTCATAGGAATGTGAATTAATAATCTACATCAGACAAAGATGGACAGACTTTCGTCTATCTTGGAACAAGACCTATAAACCTGCCACAACCCCCTTGAAGAAACTCAAAGTTCGAGAACATCTTCTGGACAAAATCTGGCTGCCGGACATACGAATTACAAACTTAAAGGAGATGAACCAATTTGAGAAATTTGGTGGAATAAACATGAATATTTATCCAAGTGGAAGAGTTTATTATAGCCAACTGTAAGTTTTGGTTTATTGATTTATAACTGATTATTGTGGGAATTAAATGAATATGCGAATAATGATGATATAAATGATTATAATAATAATTACAATATTTTTTTTTTCTTTTAAAGAGCTCTTATTAGAATCCACTGTCCAATGAATCTGCGTAATTTTCCTATGGATGAACAAATATGCTTCTTAAATTTTTCTTCCTGTGAGTTAATTTCTGTCGCAACACGTGAAATTTGTATTATTTCCACTCAGAGGACATTCACATTGACGAGTTAAATCGTCTGGCGCCAGACAGAGTACAGCATTATTGGAAGAGATTATTTCGCTGGCCTCAGAGTGACAAAACGTAACAAAGCAACGGTTTTACTAACACTATAACCCTATTCCAAACACCAATTCTAACCCTAACCCCAACCCTACTCCAAATTTGTTTCTAAACCAATCTTGAAGAAAAACGTTTTGACGAAATGTCATTTTGAGGTCAGCGAAATAGTTGATGCCAGCATTTTTAAGGTGGTTTTCCACTAGGTGAAATTTTTCGATCGCACCGAAATTTCTATTCAAAAGATTTCTGTTTAGTTCTATCTGAGTGCTTGTAAGACAAAAGAAAATTTCGATTCGGTCGAAAATTTCGCCTAGTGGAAAACCGCCTTTATTGTCCATGAAATTATATTTATCAGAGCCAGAATAGGTAATTAATTTATCCATAAAGACTACTTTCAGTAAAAGCGTTTTTTTTTGTTCTTGTGTACATGCACGGAAAAGTTTAAATCCATTTAAAAGTTCGTTACGAAATAACTAATTGAATAAAAGCAGAGCATTTAGTTCAAATTTGTGCGCATTTCTGTTATTCTCAGTAGGGTTTTTACTTGGGTAAGGCTAAAAGCAAGAAGAGGGAATTTGATATCTCCACAAAGAAAAGCGGGGTTGATGATATTAGAATTAGCCTTTCTCACGAAGGCCGAAATCCGCCATTTTGGGGGTACTTTCTGGCCTCGTGAAAGATTCTAGACAATTTAAACAACGTGAAAAGCGACTTTTAAAAGTTGTAACTGTAAATTTACCATTATACAAACAACTACAATACTAAAAGTCGCATTTCGTGGTGCGGAGACTCTCAAACGTGGCAGAGGCAGTAGCCAAAAATGGCGGGAAAATTGGCCCTTTAGAAAGGCCAATTTAATTGAATTGATGATTGAATATTCACCGGGTTTTATCTATATATATAAAACCCCTTTTTTGGCGGATTAACAAGACGCAACGTCCGTAGTTAAAACTTCCTCAAAACGATCTCTCACATTCTCACCTTGATGTTGTTTCTCCTGCTTTTCTGGGGACCCTTACCACCAAGAAACAGCACTTTTCATCACCCAATGGACCTTTCCCCTTATAACTAAAATTTTGATCTAGACAAGTCTACACCAAGATTTCATCACAGCTTGAAAGAGCATCACAAAATTAGTAATATTCCAAAGTTTCGTTGCGAAATGTTGTAAAATGCGGATAATAGCCCTGCGAAATTTGCAATTTTCAGTCATTTTGTATTACAAACGGGAAATTGATGCCCCAACACCCGATTGGGCGTCAATTTCCCGTGCGTGATACAAAATGACTGAAAAACGGCAAACTTCGCAGGGTTTATCAGTTATCCGCATTTTACAACATTTCGCAACAAAACTTTGGAATATTACTAATTTTGTGATGCTCTTTCAAGCTGTGATGAATTTTTTGTCTAGATCAAAATTTTAGTTATAAGGGGAAAGGTTCATTTTGGGCAAAAAGGATTTGCGTGATTTATTAAATGAAATTCAGAAAGATATAAATCTTTCCGCGCATATACATGCCTATGGCTATGGAAAACACTTATCTGGAAAGTAGCCTTTAAGCCACGATTCAATTTGGTCGTAAATGGCCTGTGATTATAATAATTTTTAACTGAATAAACCATGTATAAAACATAACTATATTCTCTGTTTATATGCATGCACTCTGCTTATAGTCCCAGTTCTAAACTGTTGTATTTCTGCCGTTGAGAAATATCGTGACGGTTTTAAGAACGTGTCCTCTGAAAAATTAATTGATGACATCTCAAATATGTTATTTTCACTCCAGATGCGTACGGTAAGTCGCTGCTTACCTTTGTTCTACAAAAGAAAGAAGTTCATCGAGTGAATCTGCCACAATTTGAGTTCGTTGAAACGAAGGAATGTGTTGTTGAAAATGAAGGTAGCTTTGTACAACGTGCTTATACATTTCACTTGAAGCGTGATTGGGTTATTTTACTAAGTTTGCCACAAACCATGGCTACAATGTATGCCGAAACCATGGTATAAGGTGATCTATTTAAAGCAAAATGCAAACGATAACTTTTTCCATTTTCAGAGAAGTTAAAAGCGAAACGAATAAGTGTTGCTCTGATCTTTAAGCGTCGCTTAGGATATTACATTCTACAAATCTACATTCCCTCAATGTCACTGGTATTCTTGTCTTGGTTGGCATTTCTGATGGATCCCGCTGACATTGCAAACCGTCTTGTCCTGGTTACGACTATGCTTGTATCAATGGTGTTCCTACACACGCAAATGAATACGTCACTTCCGCCCGTGTCGTACGCAAAAGCAGCTGATTGGTTCGTTCTAGTCTCCTTCGGGTTCATATTACTTGCATTGCTGGAAACCTCGTGGGTTTATAGGACATCCACCAGGACATCCACAAAGTCAAAGCCAATGGTGGGTTGTTTCAGAATATTCTGGTTTCCTCCTGTAGTAACACTGGATCAATAAGAGATGATCCTTACTGGACCTCTAGGAAGAACAGTTTAGAACTGATAAAGCTATCCAGTATAAATAAAGTTAGTTTAGTTTAGGTTTCCTCCTGTAGTAACACTGGATCAATAAGAGATGATTCTTACTGGAGCTCTAGGAAGAACAGTTTAGAACTGATAGAGCTATCCAGTATAAATAAAGTTAGTTTAGTTTAGGTTTCCTCCTGTAGTAACACGGGATCAATAAGAGATGATTCTTACTGGAGCTCTAGGAAGAACAGTTTAGAACTGATAGAGCTATCCAGTATAAATAAAGTTAGTTTAGTTTAGGTTTCCTCCTGTAGTAACACTGGATCAATAAGAGATGATTCTTACTATATAGGAAGAACAGTTTAGGAAGAACAGTTATAAAGCTATCCAACCCCGTACTCGGGCTCTTACCTGCTATCCAGTTATAATACAATCAGTCAAGTTCTAGTTTTCCTTTTAGTTTATGATTATATAGTACAACTTACCGTTATGAATTTCTTTTCGCAAAATTTTTAGAAAAACCACAGGACGTCGTTTCAATTATACACGAGACAAAACCAAGACGAGATATCGGCCCCGGACAAAGAGGATGAAAGACCGTCAAACGAACAAAGTTTTGAACGAAATACTTCCAGAAAAGAATACATTAGTCTATCAAAAGTTATTGACAAACTTTCGCTAGTTCTATTTCCACTCATGTATGGTGGATTCAATATATTCTACTGGTTTTACTTCATGAAATGAATAAAATAAAATCGTTTTTAAATTAAACCCAGCTTTTATTTGGTCGTAACTCTCGTGGCCTAGTCATGATAAAATATTTGAATTAGTCTGTATCTTGTATTTGCAAACTCTATGCAAATCAGTCTTTACTGACTGTAGAGATTTGTTGTCCATAGAAAATTTTCTATTAGCCTATTGTCCACGGCATGTAGTAAAACACTGACTACCGGAACACCGGAACACCACCGGAACACCACCGGAACACCACCGGAACACCACCGGAACACCACCGGAACACCACCTAACCCTAACCCTAACCCCAACCCTAACCCCCAACCCTAACCCTAATCCTAACCCCAAACCCTAATCCTAACCCCAAACAAAATGGTGGTGTTCCGGTGTTCCGGTAGTCAGTGTTTTACTACATGCCCAACCTCGTACCCAGGGTTTTATCTCCGCTGGGCGGTGAGCGGAGATAAAACCCTGGGTACGAGGTTGCTACATGCCATTGTCCACTTTAACAAAACCTTAAGGTTACAGAACACCTTTGAGTGTTAATTTTGCCTAAACTTTTTTTATTGGTTGCCATGAAAGCATTAGACTAGTTCTACTATCTGACCAAGTTTGAACGAAAAATGTTGAAAACTCGCAGAGTTATTTAATAAAATACATTTCGCTGCAATAAGAAAAACATTGAAAATGTAATATTCAAATTCAATTTTCTCCCGAAAAAGTTTACGGTAATTACTGATTTTCAAACGAGTTGTGCTCCTGCGGGTTTTAACCAATTGTTCCCAAATTTTCACAGGACATAGCTAAAGACGTCAGTTTCAAAATTGTGTTCGGCTTTTTTTAAATTTTGGATATTTTAAAAATAAAGAGCAATTCACTCAAACAATTCAGAAATATATTGCAGTCGTCAAAGAAATCGCCATATCAGCGGAATGACGAAATCACAGTTTTTTAGAACAACTATTTTACTGTATAAAAATGATATTTTCATAAATATAACTTAAAACCAGCAGGAGCACAACTCGAAAGCGTAAAGGTATCGCGATTTAAGATTTTCCTGAATAATTCTTACATTATCGGACAAAAAAATCGGACTGATATTGAGCGCGCAGTAGCGATTTTCCGCAAAACGCCAAAAAGGGTGTCCTGTAACCTTAAAGGCCCGTTTGTAATTTTAAATGTTAAGTTTAAATTATTTTCTACTTCTAAAGCATGTGAACGAGTAGATGTGTTATGAATGTTCTAGTTATATACCCTCATCTAAACATTATTCAAGGAAAACAGGGAAGAAAAATCATAAGCGTAAAGAAAAATTATTTTGAGGAAAACACAAAGAAAAATCATAAGCGTGTCGTATCTTTATACGTGATAGAGATTTCCCTTGATTTACATAAACTTTAACTTTGATTTTCTCGATTTACACAACGTATTTTTTGAAAATTACTTCGCCAATGAACTTACTATTTACTATAAAATCGATCGTTTTTGAAGCAATTTAAAACATTCGCAGTGCGTGTTTTATCAGACCTAAAGATACTCGGCTTCGTCTCGTGGCTTTACACCCGTTTTCAAAATTACGCGACCAAAGACGAAAATGCTAGAGTTGACATGTCAGTTTTATGTCATTCGATCACGAAGTTCAAACTTTGAGTTTTGCGGTTCCTTGTCGATGTATATGCTTTGTATGCTTTATATAAACAG